GAATTAAAAAAGAAGCTCAACGACGTACGGCGATTCCAGATTCCGACCATTTTTAGATTTGGAATAGAGGAAAATACTGAAATTTTGAGACACAAAGCTTGACAGACCATTTTCGCGTTTTTAAACATCATTAAAATGTTTGAAAAATCTCTAAAAATGAACACTTAAACCTAGGTATACAGTTGGACGGGAAATTTAAATGCGAACTCAGCGAGCTATAACATTCCATATTCTGGCCATTTGACATTAGAAAAAATTCTGAAGTTTTGAGAGAATTCAAAAACTAGAAAATACAAAATAATAGTCGAATCAAAAGCACCTACATAAGTTTTCGAAATTTTTAATTTAATATTCTAAACATGAAAGTCGAACCTCAAATGAATGACATAAAATGGGAATAATGTTATAATCAAAGCAATCGAGTCTCGGCATATTTACAAACTACATGGACTTGAGGAACTTTCAAGAGTGTTTCGAAAAGAGTCTCGATCCAATCGATCGAATCCCCTCACTGGTAAGGGTGATACTTCGCGGCTGCTGCTGCTGTTGGTGCTGATGCTGATACTCGCTGCTTGGCGCTAGGGCCCGAGCTATATTCCTGCTGGGACTTGCGGCCACCAGCGCGGAGCAACTGTGTCGCAGGCGGGGAGTGGGAATCTTCACCACGATATCGGGTGAGGCTCACGGATGACCATCAGCCTTGAAACCCTCCTTGGGATCAGCTTAAAGTATTTTCGAGCGGAAAAGAATGAAGCCATCGAAATCCACCACAGAGTAACTGCCCTTGATCACGGAACCATCGTGGATCTCCTTGCGGTTCCTGATAGTTGGTGAACTCGTCGTCTTTCATACGGGAATCCGAACTGGTAGGAGGAGTTTAGCTGGAAAATGGTTAAGGTTGAGTTGGTTAGTTACAAGATTGCTTAAGATTAAACGTAAAACTTGTTTTATGGAAATTATGCAAACCAGTAATTTCTAGAAAAATATCTTTGATTTTCTATAAGGAATTTTATCTAGTATCTTATTTTAAAAAATAAAAATCAGATTGCGTACTTTTTGCAAACTTAGAACTTCAAATGCGTACTGCAACTTCAGTGCTGACCCAAATTCATGGCTGGCCCATAAAAACGTGTCCAGACAATGGTTACGTCCTTAGCCACAGGCGCATGCGCGTGGCTGTGTAACTCCAAACTCCCAGTCCCAGATCACGCACAAGTGAAAGTAATTTGGAGCCGCTTCGGTATATTTTAATGGTCCAAGCGCACGAAATCAAAGTGCCGTTGCAGCGGATCACACAATCGATCGGCTGACTGGGGATTATGCAACAAGGCGGTAGAAGTACCACCCACTAAAACCCCAAGGCGTTGAATAATTTATGCGCAAGGTTGGCGATTTCCCCTACTTTTTGTGAGGGGGATGCAAAAGTAGTCAGACCTTCAACTAGCCAAGACAATTCGATCATAGATTATTACCAAACTGGGTTAAGGTAACTAGAAGATCGTGGTTCTGAGGCGTGGTCATAGATCCCCGGTTGGGCCTGACGTGGCCCAAAAAAAAAAAACGTTTATATACCCAAAGAACCGCAAGCCGAAAATGGAAAGGCAAAAGCCAGTTTGCAAGCCGGTTCTAATGCGTGCAATGTCCATTGAAACTTATTGTTGTGGGAACTGGGCTCGGAACTGCAGATCTCTTAAGGCATTGGGGCATAGGGGTCGCAATTGAAAGTGATTGTCTGGCGGAGAATGTAATAGCCAGCGGCAGTGTCACTCTTATGGCCATCGAAGGCAGAAAAAAAGCAGTAAGCAGTATGGGAAATGCATAATCTACTGGTTGAACTTGCAAATGACACTTTTACGGGCATGGGTCTATGAAATATGGATTTTGTTAAAAGGTTTATTACCTTGCCATATACATTGCAATTTCCTTTATGGCTTACAATTTCCCATTTAAATATTAATAAAACCATTATTGTTTTTAAGAGCCATCTGCCTATTTCTCTCCTGTCATATTCATCAATTTTAAGTGGCTAAGATGATGGCACGCCATCGGAGCACCTTAACCTCATCTCGTTAGCTCATTGCTGCATTAAGGCTGATGGATTATGGTCACTTTGGTAACGGATATTCACCAGCTTCCGCATGCAAAGGCCATAAACAATCGCCGCTGGCTAAGTGGCCAAACGGACCGGACCAGGAGCAAACTCGGGCCAATGAACATGCACAATGCGATGCACAAACACATATGGCCATGGCCATCCAATCCACACACTGTTGCCGAGTGTGGTTAATGAACCCCAAGTCACAGTTCCCTCCCCCGATCCATCTCCAATGCCATTGCATGCCTCAATTGTAATTATGTTGCTGTTGTAGATGTTGCAGTTGCTATTGGAGTTGCTGCTGCAGTCAAGCGAAAAGGAAAGTCTGCGAAAGTCCCACTCGAATGCGAGTGCCAACTCTAGCTGTGCACCGCGAAAAGAGGATCGTTTTCCATTTGATATTAATATCAAAATGGTTAAAGCAATTATTATAACCTTGTTTTATGAGTGTGTTATTAGTAAACGTTAATGGCACTTAAGTTTTTGTGTAGCATCAAAACGGGGCTATAAACCTCTGAAAAGTACACAAAAACATGTTATTCACCCTCTACTTTCCTTTGCCAATCTGTTTTCTAAACATTTCAAATTATTTTCCCTGTGCATTTCAGACTTACGTCATCGTATTCCTCCTCCCCCTCGGGCTGCTGCTGCTGTAGCGACAACTTGTGCTGTCCTTGCCGAGGATCGAAGTGGAAGGAGCCTGGTAAGAGGGCTGCTGAATCCGGCGGGGTGGCTGAGGGAGCAGCTTGGGTAGGTGGACGGTAGGACGACTGCTGCGGCTGGGCTTGGTATTGCTAAGATAAGGATATATATCCAAGATATAGAAATATATCATATAGTAACCGAGTATGAAAACCCACCTGATAGTCCCTGAGGGCCGGTGCCACGTATCCCTGCTGCTGCTGCTGGGAACGAATCTGCTCGGCCACCGTATCCCTTGATCCTGATTTGCTGGCCAGAGTTGACATACTGCTGCGTTTGTTCTGAGTTCTGTTCAAAAATGGGCGTGGCATCGTTGGGCTGAGCCTGTTGCTGCTGCTGCTGGTGCTGCAATTGTTGGTAGTACTGCCTCAAGTAGGCGGGATCCACGCCCCTGTTGTCCGCTGACAACACCACAAATTGCCAATGTGGCCACCACTAGCAGGAATTGCATGTTGTTGGTGGGTTTCTAGACGTTGCTACTGGATGTTAGATCACACTGAACCGACGAGACGCGGACACTCGAATTCAAATTCAAACACTCTAACTGAAACCTCGGCGGAGCCACAAATGTATCTGCGCTGGCTGCGGATCCAAATTGCACTTTTATATCGACAAACGGCAAATGCCGAGCGGTAACCATACACGACGACTCTCTTACTCTCTAAGCCCAAATCCAGCTCTCTTAGCTGATTTACAACAGCTGTTTTTGGGTGGCTGAAGCCCCCGAACTCGGTTGTCACTTCCGTTCAAATCATAGTTCACAGTACCCTCGACCTGGGCCATTGTTAAAGGTTTTCGCTTTTTTTTTTGTAACCCTACGTGATCTCGGCCAACTGATCAGTTAACAGCTGTTAACGTGATTAATAGCAAAAAAAAAAAAAAAAAACAGGGGGCGTTTAAAACTTTCCCGAATCTGTCATCTGCAACTGCAACACCAATGTACTCGTACTATATATCAAAGTTATTGCAGATTGCAACACATTTTGGAAGACATGCAATGCCCACAAATGTAAATGTAAATTACTTTTGTGGTTGACTCCTCCGACATGCAAGTGCCTATAACTGATTCAATGCAATTGTCTTGATGGCTTCCCATTAGATAATCATGCCCAATTAATCGGCTCTCAATTAAGAAGAGGTCAATGCAATCGTAGGAGAGCCACACCCGAGTCAAAAATCGAACCCAACAAGTGCAGAGCCGCCTCCATTGTTTGTGACCCAAATTGCCGTAAACGTTTTTCTTTTTTTCTTTCGTTTTTTCATTGGCGCCCAACTATGTATCCATCTATCTGTGAATACCTATCTACCAGTTTGTATCTGAATCTGAATCTGATGTTGCGTTTGCGTTGCGGTTGAATGGGTTCAAGCGATCTTCGATGTCGCCGATTGCCAAATCTTATTTCTGTACTCCCAAGCCCTTTGCATATAGTCATACGATCATATGATCATGTGATCGTGTCATTAAACCTCTATAAGTCCTACTCCGAATTAGATATTTGAGCTGTGAGCTATGTGATTACAATTGCCACAGAGCTCGAGCCTATATATTGTTGATGTTACAGTTGCCATACGCATACGCCCTGAATTTGCATCGATTCGCAATCGACAAGGTCGTTTCGGGGGAGTCGAATTCGGGACAATACTGAGCTGACCGTTTAATGGGATCGCTCTGACATTGTGCCAGCTAAAAAACGAACAAAAATACAATTGAAAGAAAAACCAAGCCATATTTGTGGCTTACTTAGCCGTGAAGTTAAAGTACATTATGTGTTGCAGACAATTGTTATGCACATTACACACGTACGCTCTCAGTGACTTATTTCCATTCAAATTAAAGTCAAATTTATGGGTACGCTCATTTCTCGGCTCATGTGTGCATATAGTTTCAATATAAATACGTTTAATTGCCGGAATGATTGATGGAATAAGTGCAGATTTGCAGCGTCATGTTATGCAAAGATTTTCGGCTACTCTTTTGGCTTAGTTTTTGGGTTGGGTTTCTCTGGCTGCTCTGGCTGCTCTGAACTGGGCTGGGCTGGGGCACTACTTATGTTAAAAAAGAAGGCTGGCAGACAAAAGAGCTCGTCATATTCAAATTATTGCCGGCATGTTGAAATCTCCGATCATAATTATATCACACTTACAGTATATATATGTATAAGCAGGTGTCATAATATTTCAATTAATAAGAATCCAATCTCACTTCTTTTATCCAATCAAAGTCACTTTTTATTAATTAAAACATTCTTTATACCTATTACATTCCATGACTAGAATCACTCAAGATTAACCCACCTGATGGCGGTTAATTAAGAATCAGAATAACATAAACATAACTATAAATCAAATTTGCTGCTAATTTAGTTTACTTTTTCTTTTTTATTTAATTAATTTATATAGATTTTCTATTGCATACGGAGACAGTAAATAGGTAGAGGCAGAGTTAATTTGTGTTTAAATTGTAGACAATATCGTAAGTTTATTTCGATGCCAATCGTGTTTACCAAACCAATTTATCATAAAGCTGTGTTAGTGGTTCACAATTCCTTGTCGTTCTTCATATAATTTATTGAGTAAGTTAAACAGAATTTCATAAAAATCCGCTAAATATGTTAGGAGATAAACAACTGTCGGTGCCAACGGCAGCAGATGTTGCTGTTGCTGTTGTTGATGTTGCTGCTGTCGCTGATGTTGCTGCTGCAGTTTCTAGTACTCGGTGGCACCAATAACGCTGTACATGAGACGATTGAAAGAGCCGCTCTGGCGTATGTTCTCGTCGTGGGTGTTTACCACCTATCAATTAAAAACACACAATTATTTTAACATTCCGTTAATGTTAGGCTAACAGCTCTACTCACATTGTACGGCGGCCGGGATACTGGCGCTGATACTGGTTTCTGTAAGAGCATTCGGATGGGATGAAGAGATAAGAACTTGCTTAATAACTCTGGCAAATTCCAGCAATTTCGGTTACAAACTTTTAAAATGCAATCTCTAACTGTTATGAGCTCATGTTAGATGTTAATCTATGTTAGAATGCCCAAAAAAAGATGTGTGCTTGTGATTTGGAAAATATACACAGATATGGAGTTAATGGATGTTTAGTGTAGTTCGATGCCAGCTGGTGATCGACCAAAAAATCTGGTTAGTAACACTACTTCGGCCCCGTTAGTCGTCGTTATAGCGCATTAACATGCCACCAGACAAGGATACATAGAGACTGTTGACTAACATTCTGTTGGGTCAACTCTATACGTTTACATTGACACAGAAAGAGAGACAGCGAGCGATATAGGAACAGAGAGAGACAGATAGACTTTGTACAGGATGAGCTTTGAGAATTCGAGCGATATTGTCGGATGCGCCTTCACATAAAGTTTTGACTGAGTTGGTCGGTTGATTGATTCGAGTTGATTGAGAGATTTGCTTGATTTGAGATTATCGAACGGTTGCTCACGATCTTACCTTTCCTGGAACCAATCTATTGGGCTGATAGACCTTAGTCTGCACAGGAATGGTTACTTCCTGTGGCGAGGATTGGCCATAGCTGCTGTAGCCGCCCTCCTCTTGAATGGCTCTGTAGGTATCGCTGTTCCTGGGATCGTACTGGACAGTTTTCTTATAGCTGCTCGATGGCAGTGGTCAGTGATTGAGATTCGGATTCAGATTCAGTAATTCGGGGGATTGCATTGAGATCGTTGAAAGCGCCGTTATGTTTGGTCAATAATTCGTTGGATTTTGTTTATTGTTGGGTGTTATGCAAATTTTCAATAGATTTATTTTTTAAGTCGTTTTATTGTTGTTGGTTAATCGAGATTCATAAATTAAATATATTTGGTTTGTTTTGGTTTTTTTTTTTTTTTTTTTTTTTTTATACATCGGTTGAGTAGCGTGAGACAGAGTAGTGAGAGAATAGAAAGAGAAAACAGGATGTGCACAAAATACGTTAGAATTATTTTGTTTTTGTTGTAGTTGTAGTTTGTTGGTTGCTGTTGTTGTTGTTGGGCAATGGTGTGCTTCGTTGTCTTAGAAACTGCACACTCCTCAAACGGATTGCGATTAATAGGAAACTCATTAACAAATTCCTTACGAGCTAGTTATTAAGAGTAATCGAACAGAACTGCATAACAAGATGTGAGATTATACGATATACTCGAAAATATATCATTGGATGAATTAAAGCCTTGAGATCGGGCGGGATTAGGGTTGTTAGTTAGTGTTTAATGGTTAATACTGGATGGGTTGCTAAATAGGATGGGATCATGAATAGGAACTTTTAATGCTGTCTTTCAAACAGTTCGTAAATATAATTCAGCAAACGTCTTTTAGTTTCGGATTAGTCTTAGTGGAACTGGTCGGTAGGGAGGACTTTCAGCAAGGGTCTTGGGAAGGGTGAGTTTTGGCTCTTGGTCTAGTAGAATTGGGTGGGTAGAGTTTTTGACTACTATTTCTTTGATCATTTGTTTTGTTGATAGAGTAGTTGCAGTTGCTGTTGGCGTTGTTGGCGTTGTTGCTCTGCAAGTTGGTCTTTTTGCTTTTGTTGCTCCAGAATTTTACGTTTTTGTTCCAGGAAAGATAGATCGATGAAAATTCTAACATTAATCGTGCAGCTAAGTTCTAAATATATCAGGATCTAAGAGCTATGGTGGTAATAGTCTAAGGATCGTTTTGGTTTTTTCTTTTGTTGGATTTGGTTAATCTATAAGTACACAGCACCTGGCCTACCAAGAAACCCCTTCCCGATGTACCTGCATCACTTTTGCCATACCTTTCAGATTGCAATATAGCCCAAACAAGAAGCCTCAAGACAAACAAAGTTCGTTGGGGGTTTCGGTGAAGATAAAGTATCCAGAAATACACGTATTTACACAGTAATGATTTCCATATCACAGACTCAGATCAAAGGAGCTTTTCGTTGCAATAGGAAGGTTTAGGATAAGATAAAGGAAACATATAGATATTTATAGACAGCAGAGCACATGCAATTGGGTTTTGGACGTGTGTCATGTTGTTTCTGTTGTTCTGACATAGATATTGATATCTGGATTTAAGAGACTATATAGTAGAGTTGTTGTGGTTGCGGGAGACAACAATAATCGAGGGTTAATCTGTACAGACAGGCAGGGAAAACACGGGAAACATGGTAAACATTCCTCATAGTCAATTTGTCTCAAGGCAAGTTCAGATTGAATCTGAACTTCTTGCTCGTATGCTTTCCATATCAAAGTGAGAAGGATTCAATCAAAGAACGAAATCAGGCTGTGCTCAAGATATGAATTTACTTTTACCCGTTAAGTTTTGTTGGCAAAGGACGATGCAAAGGACTGTCCTTCAAGCGATTGCTTTCGCTTGTGGCGAAACTACAACAATATATATAGAATATATATAGGTATATATAAAGAGTGTGATATATATATGTTATATATGTATAACAGAGATCCGGCAGTAGGCAATAAGTACGTACAACATCTATGGACTGGTTTTTTGTTTATGTGTTCGAATGTGTTTCTCATTTCGTGTGTGCTTCGGTTTAGTAAATTTCGTTTCGACTTTGATTTTGTGGCTTTTTTGGGTTAGTGGATTATGGCCGCAGCTTAACCAGGAACCAATTTTTGTTGTTTTTGGGTTATGTGGACCTTAGGCTACTCGTAACCGTAATCGTGACTCGCTTTATTAGTTTCAAGCTAGTAGGCGCATTTCGAGTGGCTCTCTCTCTGGCAAAAAGAAAAGCTGCATCAAAAATTTCGAAGAATTCTACGCAGGTTTATTCAGTAATTGCAAAATCCAAAAGGCTTTATATGTTCAATTTGACAAGCGTTTTCCAAAGTTCAGATATTAGTGTTTTTTTTTCATTGTATCGAGCTAAGCATAAGAGTTTCCAAATGGTAAATTTCTGGGTGGCAACTTACGGAACTGTTGATCTGATGGTGTCCTCGATGTTGCTGTTGGAGTACAGGCCGATGGGCGAGTTGAATTGCTTGTGGAAGACCTAGGATCGAAGGAAAGAACTTGTTTTAAATCATGATCAAGGAAAATTCATATTATAAATTAAAACCCAATATCACCTCGACTTTTTAAATTAAATTAAAAGGCTTTGTATAGAGAATTTTGAAGTCTTAAATTTTGAAAAATGTAAACAAATATTGTTTTAATTAAAATATGATTGAACAATACACAAAATCGAAATGATATTATGACCATTTAAAATGTAGAAAACATTTTTTTGCTCAATAACAAGGGGACTTCCCCTCTTTACTTACGCGGCCAGTGTCGGCCTCCGAACCGACAACCTTGTGCAGCATGGTGTCGGCCACGCGCTGCTTCATGATACTGTCATGGTAGTCGTGTCCTGGATGGGCGCGCACAGCCGGGTTGGGGTAGTGCCTCAAGTAGGACTCTGTCGTGGGCGCATCCTTCTTCACTTTGGCGCCGGGCAGGACCAGAGGAGTTGTTCGGTAAGGCTGGAAAACGGAACCACATCACACGTGATCAGTGAAGATTAACGACTTTGTTTACGCCAATGCCAAAATGGACACACATTTTGGCAGCCCAGCCGTTTGTGGCAAATGATAATATAAATAAATCAGCAAACGATTACCAGAGTTTTTGTAGATTCTACAAAATCTTCTTAGATCTTCGCCCACTGTGCTAGGTATTCTCCTTTGAGTGTGTGTGCATAATTTTTTCTATAGCTAAATTCCATTTTATGTGCGCCCGTTTATATACTTTAAAAATATCCCACAGCCAGGGGAAATATTTTTAGGCGCTTACGTAAGCGTGTCGAACGTCCAGCGCTTTATATTTTGTATCTGCCTCGAAGCGTTTTATTTTTACCAGGCGGTCCACGAGCGAGTATGTAAGTAATTCAATATAGGCGGACAGTCATTCAAAATTCTGTAATTAAGCGCGCCTTATCGATAAACGATCGACGATGTGCAGATCTGGGTCAGTGCTGCCAGATGGTTAGGCCTGGCTTGATCAGCTGTTGTTCTAGGCGAATGGCTAATTGTTTTGCGCGCTTTTTTAACTGTGCCAGCTGGTCGTTTTTTCTTACCCACGCTGTGACTTTATTAACTTATATTAGTAGAAATTAACTTTTAATTATTTAATTAATCACGTAAATGGCAGCCGTACGTCGGTCCACGCGCTTAAGTAGCATTAGCAAAACGGCCCCAGCCTCTCCATTGCCGCAGTCGACGCAGACGCCGCGTCGATCGGAAGTTTGGAAACGCAGGCAGCCGAAAAAAGTGATCGCTGACAGCGACGAGGAGGAGGTGGGGACCTGTGACCAGACCAGCCCCGTGTCAGAGAACAACGAAAACCGCAACGTGCTTAACAAAATGGACAAGGTCTCGAGGCGCAGGACCTCGCAGGTGCAGGTCGCTCAACTGGAGCACCAAAAGACGCCACGCAGCACAAAGAAAACAGCCCAATCAGCTGCTATTTCACGGGCTAAACGCACACAGGAAAACTACGAGGCCACCGCAATATTTTTGGATGAAGACCAGGATGTGGACCCGCTTCATGTATCCCCGCCTAAGCAGAGAAAATTGCAGCCTTTGCCGCAACACCTGATCAGTCCTTCGAGGCTTCTGGACAGGCTCAGCATCGACGAACGCCAGGAGGAAGAGGATTATAACAAGACTGACAAAGAGCTGGAAAAGCACTTATGTAAGGAGCAAGAGAAGCCACGTCCAAAGCAGCAGGTGAAGCCACAAAAGAATAATGAGGTTGATCCTCTTGCATTAGAGCAGGAAAAACCTCCAACTAAGCAACAAGAAAAACCTGCAATCAAGCAACATGAGAAACCCCAACCTAAGCAGGAGAAACAACTGACCAAAGATGAGAGCCCCCAAGATAACCTGCCCTCGCCTTCCCGTAACAAATACCAAAATGCCAGACGAGTGCTTAACAGTGCCGAGACTCAAAATCTCCCAGGTCGAGAGGCGCAGCTGCAAGAACTCCGTGAATTCTTTAGCAGCCACTTGGAAAGCCAAACTTCCGCCAGCCTCTATGTCTCCGGGCAGCCAGGAACAGGAAAGACTGCCTGCCTATCACTACTTCTAAGAGATCCCGACTTCTCTAAGCGCCTGCAACGCGTCTATATCAACTGCACCAGTATAGCTAGTGTTGGAGCAGTTTACAAAAAGCTATGTGCCGAACTCCAGCTTAAAGTCAATGGACGCACAGAAAGAGACCATCTAGAGGCTATACAACGCCATTTAAGAACGGCCAAGCGAATGCTCTTGCTGGTACTTGATGAGATTGATCAGCTGTGCACTAGCAGGCAGGAGGTGCTATACACAATCTTCGAGTGGCCTGCTCTTCCTGGCTCCAGGATACTACTTGTGGGCATTGCCAATAGCTTAGATCTCACAGACCGAGCCCTAATGCGTTTGAATGCCAGATGCGAGCTTAAACCCAGGCTAATGCACTTTCCGCCTTACTCCAAGCAGCAGATTGTAGAGATTTTCAAATCGCGCCTGGCCGAAGCGGAGGTGCTGGACGTCTTTCCGCCCGTGACCCTTCAATTGCTGGCTGCCAAGGTGAGTGCGATCAGCGGTGATGTGAGAAGGGCGTTAGACATTGGAAGACGTGTCGTTGAGATTGCGGAGCAACAAAAGCGAGATGGTGAGAAAGAATTCAATATGAAGGCCCTGCAGCTGGAGGGCAAGGACGCCGTGGAGGCCAAAGAAAAACAAGGTATGTTTATTTTGAAATCCAATTATAAGGAAATATAATAAAAAAATAATTTTCTTCTCTATTTCAGATACTCTGAAACCTGTGCAGGTTACCCAAGTGGCTGCTGTGCTAAACAAAGTCTACGGAGCCTCGCAAAATCTGGAGGAGGACATCGAGGGTTCTTTCCCCCTACAGCAAAAGCTAATGCTGTGCACCCTGGTAATGATGCTGCGCAACGAGCGCAACAAGGATATCAGTATGGGTCGCCTACACGAAGTCTACAGACGAGTGTGCGCCAAACGGAATATACTGGCTCTGGACCAAGCCGAATTCACAGGCACTGTGGACCTGGTGGAAACTCGGGGCATCCTTCGCATCATGCGAAAGAAGGAGCCGCGCCTACACAAGGTCCTGCTGCAATGGGACGAGGAGGAGGTGCATGCTGCACTCAGCGACAAGCAGTTGATTGCCTCGATCCTCAGCGATACCTCCTGCCTGAACAAGTGTTGATTTGGACGATTACCTATAGGAAATTAGTGTGCCAGACAATCTGCTGGTTAATTGCGCATTTCTCTCATTTTCATTCACCTTGGGGACGAACATATATGTATAAGAATACGTTTTGAAGCTATATTTAAAATACGTGGCTGGCGCAAGCACTGAAATATTTTGAAATATCATTTGAGGGTCACTTTCGACATTTTGCTTTTTGACTATTAATTGAATCGAATTTTTGAGATTTTATGTTTGTCGTAAATTTAAGTAAATGTTGCCCCCATAAACTATTTCTAATCCGATCCGTTGACCAATAAGCGCTAGACAATTCGTTTCCTGTTAGCCCTAAGCATTTAAGAATAAACTAAATAGTTCTGCAATATACAAATCACAAAAGTGAAAACAATTTCCACTTTCGCTGCGCCACAAGTTTTGATCTTGAGTGGTGCCAAAAGTTGGGGAAAATCGTAGGGAAAGTCTGCCATTGTTTTTCGAGGGGTTTTCAGATCGTACGAGTCAAATTAACACCAATGATTCTGAATACGTGTGGCTTTGTTGGCCATCTCGACATGAAATTAATTTCTTTTATAATCATTTTGTTTATTTATTTGCTGGCTTATTGTTGTTTTTCCTGCGCTCTCTGCTCTAAAAATATCCCCCATTGGATGGTATAAATTACATTGAGCACAGCACGGCAAAGAGCGCAATGAAAAATATGTTTCAAAAACTCTGGTTGCCTTTCGACGCGTATTGACGGAAAGCGAACAAATGTTTGAATATAATCGAAATGCAAAGTGGCGGAGAGAATCGCCAGCCAGATATATGCACGAATATACCTAAAGCTCTGCTATATGCCGTTCTATATTCTAATGTCTTAATTATATATTTCTGAGGGAAAAAGTAAAACGAAAATCTCGAAAAACGTACACGTTGGTTGGGCAGTTTGGCATTTGTATTTGAACTTGAATTCCAAGAGCAAATGTTTGACGGTAAAGGTGAAATGTTTCATCTGGATTTGTACTTAGATGTCTGTCAGGCAGTTGGAACATGTCTAGAAATCTTTGTTTATAAGTTAGGGAAAAATTAATCAAGCCACAGCATGAAATGTGCTTCGTTTCGAAGAATATATGCGGTTTTAAATATTTTGTCATCCAGAAATTAGTGGATTTATCTCGAAAAATATTCTTTTTATATGCTTATATGCTTGCCTCCTTCCTTTATGATAATAAAATTTAATAAAAATATACTCTTTGAGCACACACACTTCTTTTGTTCTTACGGTATTATCCAAATAATATTTTTCCCCACTTGTTTATATTTATTTTTAAATCTCAGTTAGTTTGTCACTAGTCTGCTTACTTGGTATTGAATGCATTCATTGAGGTCTGGCTGCTCCTTGTAGTAGACTGGGGATCCGTTTTTGAACTGAACGTACTCCATTTTTGTAATGTGTGTGTTTTGGGTTTTAATTTAAACTCCTTCGAATTCGAACAAAATAGAAACGAAAAATATTATAGCCAGGTACAATTACGTAATGCAAGATCACGTCAGTTTAGATACTTGATTTTTGTAGATTATTATTTTGTTATCGTTTTAACTAGTAATGGTTATTTTGATTGGTAACTTGCTTTTTCGGCACGTTTAAATCAACGGCTGGTGCTGGTGAGATCGGAGATCGTTTCACGAGGATTCACTACAAAAAGGATGCTCGAGCTCGAGTCTTATTGTTGTTTATTTTTCAATATTCCGAACGCAACTGATTTGAAAATTTTCAAATGCTGGCGAATTATTGCTATTCCGACTGCGCGGAATTCCAATATGTCTATATAGCCAACTCGGTATTGGTTGGAGAGTGTCTGTCTGTGTGAGCCATATAGAAAAGTGAGTGCTGACGGTCAGAGGCCGTTCGACCCACGCACCCACACCATCATCCCATACGAAATCTTATGTATTTCAGAGAGAGAAAGAGAAATCGAGGGGATTTCTTAAATATACAAAATATGTTTTTGTGCAAATAGCTTGTTCACCGAGCGTAAACTCAGGCAACAACACCACCAATCCCATCGTATAAACTTGGACTTGGTGTGATCTATATTTTTGTTTTTTTTTTGCTTTGGTTCTCGCCCACGCGCCTTCCACCACGCCCCCGTACCCCACCAACGGATGTTGTTGTTTGTCCTGCCGCCCCAGTCGTGAATTATTCACATATAACATCTCGCGTATATGTTTTAATTGCTGCTTTTGTGGAACAATTTCACATAACATTTTTTTCTCATTTCTGAAAATTAGGCACAAATATTTATCGGACTCGAGGTTATTGTTTCGTTCTAATGCAGAAACATTTATGTGAAATCCGCAGTCCCAAAAAAATACAGAAATATTTCACAGATTTGCAGCTATATTATTGATTTGTTCTCGCTGATTTCCACTGACACTGAGCTCTGAGCTTTGCCAATTGGCCGATGGATCCGCAGATTTGTCAACCGATTCTGACAGTTCCAAAAGACCCAAAACCAAGATACATAAATCTCATCAGTATTGGAATTGGCATTCTGTATTTTCTTGGCTGTCATAAGCAATCGACATTGGAACAGGTCATTGAGCATATCATTTGATCTAGTGGACAGGGCCCGAAAAACACACACGAGCAGGTGTAATTAGCCTTGAAAGGCTGTTGGAAAAGTTTCAAGTTCGATGGAAGATACAAGGAACGCATAACTTACATGGAATTATGTTCTGTTTTCCCACTGCGAAGGTTGCAGTTCATCCGACCATAGGAATCATTTTTCGGGGATTTTTATACACTTGGAGGAAAGAGGTGTGAAATGCAAATGTGCCTTGCATATTCTCATAAGATAATGACAAAAAATACATATCAAGCTGAACTACATTTTAAGTTTAAACTAAATAACTTAAACTGGATATTTTTCTTGTGATTTTCACACTTGAAATTAATCGATTTCAGTTTTTCTTTGTGCACCCTCATTTGTTTAAAACAAAACGATCAATAAACAATCCAGCTGATGGTTTTTTGGGGCAGTCTGGGCTTCTAACAAAGAGAAATTAAGAACACAAATAGAACGCATTCAAGGTACATATTAACCATAAATTAGTTGAATAAAAGTACAATAACCCATTAGGAGGTAAGGATAAGAATAGACCAACTTTCCATCAAGAAGGTCATCTGTTCTGGAACTTTTTTGTCGACACCTTTTTCACACTTCTGTATGACAAATCATCAAACATCAAAAACATATAGGTAAGGCACCTTGATTTTTATTTTGGTGCCGCATTGGCAAACACAAAACTGCGACCTTGAGAAGTGTCTTGATTCATTAGCGGCGTCATCTGCGGGTAATAGGACATATGGAGGGGGTGGTGTTTTCATTGGCATTGCCATGGCATCGCAAGTTTGGACGGACAGTGGATCAAAATCATCTCCTTACACCTCACTCACCTGCCCAAAAATAGTTTCGAAAATATACTCTTGTTTATTTGCGTCTTTGCCTCTTGGCATTTTCCGAGTTTTCACAGTGTTTCTTTAAGGGGGTGGGCGGGCAGCTCTCTGTTACAGCTTCTGACTTGTTTTTGTTTGACTTTTCGCCAATTTCCACCTGCACACTGCGTCACTGGGCCTTTTCCTGTTTAGCGCCCCGCATTCTCGATCTTTGGTCTATATTTAGCGGATGTAAGCGACGGAACCTTGACCACCAAGATTGTTGTATGCTGATGTCAGCGTTTCAGTATATTCAAATTACGATACAAAAAATATAGTTTTCTACATTTTACAATGTGATTTACATAAATATATTCAATATTTACAAACACTGAGAATGTTACTAAAACACACAACGCTTTGTTTTAAATATTTTTGATGTAATGTACTTTTTTAATTCGTCCTGTTCTGATATGTCCCATATTATAGTCTCCACATAAATTTTACACACATTTTACATTTATTTTTATCCGAAAAGTATGCAACACATAACTCAAGGAGCTTTTCATCAAGACATTTAAAATATTTTTAAAAACTTTATCATTTTATGCCTCATAGACAAAGTATATTTCCTTTTTTGTTATTTATTAATTTAGAATTAATAACACACCAACAATCATTGTTATAAACTTTAGTTTTTTCTTTGGAAAGTTGAAGTTTGGCAACAAGAAGTTCTTTTTCCCTAAATAAATAATTTATCGGAATATGAACTCACCTGATTTACAATAGCGGCCTGTTCCTCATCGACATCCTGTTGATGATCCCTTGTTGGCTTGGGCGAGAATACAGACGAAGGTACTTCATAACCACCAGAAGAATTCAACTGAGGAAACACGGTCTGTGGCAAAGTGTCCACTGGCAACTGTAGAGCTCTTTCAAAGTGACTCGGTCCTGGCAAAAAGGGCGAGGGGCCACGGTGGGGCAGCAGATCCGGAGTGGCTGGCGGCAAAGTGGAGTTGCTGCGCGATCCAGGTCCTGCCTCTTGGGTGCCGCCCTGTGTGTAGGCGATTTTGTTGTCCCTGGAATTTGTGAATGTTAATATTTTTCATTTTTATTTTAATTTTCAAATCTTTATTTCCCTTTAAACATATACTGAATGAAGGGAAACATGCGAAACTGATCTTTGATTTTCTTTTTTCCTGTTTCAGAACACGGATTTCCCTACTCACCTGTGCACCACCAGCCGGATCTCGTTGCCAGCACCGCGGAACAGCTGCTGTGCATCCGCGTGACTCAGATCGCGTGCATCGTACTCGCCGATCTTTGAGATGATATCGCCGCGCAGCAGTTCCCCATGCGATGGGCTGCCCACTTGCACCTGCAACAAACAGGGTAGTGGACGAAAGAGGGTGTTAAGGTCATTTCATATATACACAATATAGGGCCCAAATGCCCGGCTGAAACCTTGACATAGATATATGGGTGCCTAAATAGATGCAGACAGAATTATGATCGCCACACTCTGACTGTTTACATTGCAGTGGGGGAAAAAAGAAGGCGGGAAAAGTGGGGAAAATTTCTTCGGCTATTTTGTTGCGCCTCAATTAGTTTTACTGGCGTCGCATTTTGGCAAACGCTGCAGCGTTTATTGTTGCTGTGCCCGTTTCGCTATTTTGATTTGTTGTTGTTTATTTGGGCGCTGAGAACAAAGCGGAGCGAGGGGGCACAAAGGCCAAATCGCTTTTCTTCTACCATTTCGAATGTGCATCATTTTGATGAATGGACCACAAGCGACCACAAAACGACAATCTCTGGTTACATAACGCCCATTTACCCTGGTGATTATTAGCGGCGTATCCAGATCATTGCCGCCCACCAAACGGATGCCCCAGGGCGTGCCCTGACCATCGCGCAGCAGCACCACCGCGAACTCATGCAGCTTGGGGCTCATCCTGATGTTATTGATGTTGATGATCCGGAGGATCTATGTCACTGGCTCATCCAATCGATTGGCGGTCTATCCCGAAAACTTAGCTTTATTGTTTATTTATGTGGCCTGCGAGGCGCAGGCGGCGCGAAATTGCAGTCCGTTAAGCGTTTTGTTCGATCGCAAAGCTGCTCAAGTACTAATTTTAAAATACAATTCGTATTCCTTTTTGCAGCAAACAGCAGCGGCAGCAGAATCTTGGTATACCACGAGTACACTGCGCCACAAATGTACATACACCGTACATATATATACAACTTATATCCGCCGGCAACGGCGACTACATGCTGAGAAACATGAATTCGATTGGCGAATCCTAATCGCTGAATGGGTTTTCCGCGAAGAGTTCTCTGAATTTCTCAGAGAAGCTATCGCGGATTTAGGAAAAATCGGAGATGTGCATAATATTTTCCCCCCTCGGGATTTATGTTCCACGGGTGGCAACAAGACGTATACTTAATAAGATGTTTGATATCAAATTACGCTTGCGGGAAAATATACGCTGCTACAAAAGAATCCAACTGAATATTCTTTGATTTCCATTAAAATGGTAATATTAAAGGAGGTACTAGAATTAATACAAATATGTGAGCTGGAAACTTAATACTTCAACTTTTTCATTTTCTCAAACCCACATAGAGTATCCAAAAACCACCTTGCAGTCAGAAGTTTTCCACTCTTTGTTCCCATTGTTTAATTTGACGTGTGCCCTGCATTTGTGGCATTCTGCATTTTGTTGGCCACATTTTAGGACAGCACTTGATCCAGTTGCAGGCTGACCCTGAAGAAATGAATGCCACATGTCATCATCTAGGCGAATGTTTTGATGAGCATCCCTGATGCTAAGAGAAAAAATCAAGTATCTAGGCATCTGTTTTTCTTCGACATTTTCAGCTACTTTATTAGTGTTTTTTCCCCAGACTTGTTTGCCCAACGATGAGGCAATCGAGAGAGTGTAATTTAATTTATTTACTGAGGCGGTACTAGCAAAATAGAAACGTATTTGCAACTCTTGCCCAATTTAAACAAACTAATCATATTAGATTTTTGGCGAATTAGTCAATGGAAAAGTCTACGTTCAACGTGACGTATAAGCAATGTAAGCAATGTGCATGGGTCAACGGTTGAAGGACGTTAAGTTGTTTTAAATATTCCGTCTGCCTCTCGTTTTTGGCAACAAATTTACTTTTTACAACGGAAAAATCTTTTCCTGCCTTTCGCCTTTCCGCTGATATATATACACGATATATATGGTTTGCTATTTAATTTTTCATTTTATACATTCTGGTTTTGGCACTTTTTGGCTGGTTCTTGAAATGTTTTTACTATTTGCGGATTGAATTGTTTTCATTTCGTTTTCAGTTGGAATTTGTGTAATGATTTCTATGTGACTTTTGGTCTAGATTAGCCTTGAGGGGATTGTAAATCATTTGAAAATCTTTAGCCAATGGATAGCAAATGGTATAAATATCAATGGCAATGGAAATATGGATCCATCCATCTTTGTGGGCCATTTTACTTGGCCAAAAGTGCAGCAGTGGCCAATTAATTAGATTTGGCTTGACAAATTTACGAGCAGCCAATGGCAAAATGTTATTGAACTGATTTCTGAGACGGCCTGGTGTGAATTGGGGCCACATATACGACCACACGCGCGCGATGATTGACAAGCCGGGCGATTCAAAGGGGTTGGGGTTTTTTCGCTTTTTTTGGGTTCTTGGACTCACCCCCACATTCGGTTCGTCAGCAAAACGGACGCGTTTCTTTAGCCCGCTGCTGCTGCGCCTTCGGCAAGGTGGCGGTAACGGTACATTAGGCAGAGTGGAAGGTGACTGTGGGCGGTACGATGATGGCAATTCGTAACCGGGCACCTTCCAGAAAGCCGGTCGCCCGAATGACGCGGACGCCGATGATCTGCTGGTCGTCATTGCTGGCCAGCGACTAGCGTAAACAAAAGAAATGCTCCGCACATTCAGAAATATGCGCTAAATTCTACAATTCAAACGCGTCTGCTCACGACTGCGTGTGTGTGTGCACTACTAGGCAATTGAAAAACCAAATAAAAGCACATGAAAAGTCTGAGGGAACGAGCGCAAGCCGAATATTAATCACTCGTAAGACAGGTGATAAAGTGAGGGGAAAATATTATTGAATGTCTATGTTTATTTTATTATATTTACCGAAGTAAGGATAACATCGATTAGTTTACTGGGTTTAAAACGAAATCGAATTAGAATTTGAAATTTAAACCATGCCGCCTTTTGGCGAGATGGGCTGCATTGGGCTTTAAATTTAAACACACGATCTGGCTATATCATAATTGTCCAGCGGCTTAGAATAACTTTTCTTAGAATTTTGGGGTAAAGTTAAATTTGAGTAGCTGCTATTGGTCATAAACATAATAAAACATTGTACAATACTTATACTTAACAACTGTATTTTTACAAAACAGGGCTTCACTGTCTTGAATTTAGCGCCTTACTCTGACAACTTCGATAGTCGTAGCCAACTATCGATATGCAACTAATGATTTTTACCGTCTGGTAGCACTGTCCAGCGATTTGTTGTGTTTTTATCTCCAAGTTTCACCATTATTTTACCAAGATAAAGCCTTAATTGAATCCATATAGGGGTACTGAATGGACTCAGAGAAACCCCACCTTCTGAAAGCCACGACATGTCTATTTTCAAGGCGCGGTCTGTTCTCTCCTTCAAGCCAATCCAAGCTGGTACATAAACAATGACTTTCTCTCACCAAATTGCAGAGTCAAGGAATTTGAGGATGTTTTGGCGGCTCCACAGGATGTGATTGACCTGAAACAACTCAGAAAACTTGCATTCAATGGTAAATAATAGCTTCCGTTGGGTAGATCTGAAACACTAAAAACTCAACAATCCACAGGTGTTCCTGATGTGCAGAGTTTTCGAGCCCTCAGCTGGAAACTGCTCTTGGGGTATTTGGGTCCCAAGCGTAGCAGTTGGACTACGACCTTGGCTCAGAAACGGGCGCTGTACAAGCAGTTCATAGAAGAGTTGGTACTACCCCCAGGACACTCCAAAAACGGAGGCAGTGGAGAAGGGGGAGATGGGGACAAAGTCGATTCGGGGGGCGTTGGCTTGCAAGATCATCCGCTAAGCGAGGGACCCGAGAGTGCCTGGAATACGTTTTTCAACGATAACGAGTTCTTGCTACAGATCGACAAAGATGTTCGGCGCCTTTGCCCAGATATATCCTTTTTCCAGCAGCCCACAGACTATCCCTGCGAAATTGTGGTCCACAGTAAAGGGGAACACGGACGCAGACTTCATGAACGCGTAGTACCTGCTGTGCTCAGTTCGGCGAATGTGGAACGCAAGGGCCTGGGCATGACCAAGGTGAGTTACATATCGGATTTCTGCTAGACAATAAGCTTAGAATGTGTTGTTTTACGCGTACCTTTCGGATTATAGCAGCAAGTAAGTGAACTCCTTTCAAGTAGACCCAAATCTAATAACTAGTTCTGTTCCGCACAGATAAATCTAATCACTAAACGCTCTGTGGAGAACTATGCAGCCATGGAGGAGGGCCAAGAGGCACACTGGGAGGTTGTGCAACGCATTTTATTTATCTACGCTAAGCTGAATCCCGGCCAGGGATATGTCCAAGGAATGAACGAGATTGTGGGCCCTATCTATTTTGTAATGGCCTCCGATCCTGATCTTACGTATCGCGCCCATGCCGAGGCTGATTGTTTTTTCTGTTTTACCGCCCTGATGAGCGAGATACGTGACTTCTTTATCAAAACCCTGGACGACGCGGAAGGCGGTATTAAGTTCATGATGGCCAAGCTATCGAATATGCTAAAATCAAAAGACCTAAACATTTATGAGCTGCTTAAGCGTCAGGAGCTGCATCCCCAATACTATAGCTTCAGGTGGCTTACACTGCTCCTTTCGCAAGAATTTCCACTGCCAGATGTGCTTCGCATTTGGGATTCCGTATTTGCAGATGAACAGCGCTTTGATTTCCTTATAAAAATATGCTGTTCCATGATATTGTAAGCAAACAGGTTTACTAGAAAGCTATGACTAATTTGAGAATTTTTTTTTTTTAGAATCCAAAGAGAAGCCATTTTGGAAAACGACTTTGCCTCGAATGTAAAACTACTACAGAACTATCCGCCTATTGATATTAATGTTGTGATTACTCATGCCGGTTCGTTGGCGTAGCAGACGTTTAAGAATATATCCAAATGCCCAAATGCTTGCAAAGCCCTTTAGTCATTTATCAACGTAAAGAACCAAGCAATCAACTACACTAAAATTAGCTCCAATCTCCAAAACGCACTTTTACAGGAAATCCAATAAGTGAATACGTATCGTTACTTTTTATATGACTTATAATTTGTATGTCATTAATAAACGAAATAATTTTAACATATTTCGGGCCCAAACAGATAAACGTCATAACGTTAAAATAGTCATAGGTTGGTCAGCCGTTCAAAAACGTGTGGCATCGTCTGATAAAATTAAAACACCGTTGAAGTCCTCACTTGTTTAGCTTAGGGGCAGTATCTTTGCATATGGACTGTGCAATAAACTCTATGAGTGTCCTAGTTGGCCGTCCGGCCATGCCCTCTCGCAGATATTCAAACTCATCGCCCCGAGTGATCATCACATTAGTAGCATCCTGGAAAGAAGAACCACATTTAAAAAAGGTCTGGGTTTTAAAATGAGCTGAACTTACAATATGCATCCACTGACCGCAAGGTACGAACTCACGCAGGAAGGCGGCTGCCTTGCAAGGACGTCCACCACGGCCAATGCCGTAGTTCTGGACATCACTTCGTCCTCCAGCTCGGACCGCCTTGCTGTAGTAGTTCCACAGCGGGAAGCGCCACACACGATCTCCTGTGTGCATACTGGCGTGCTTGATCTGTTGCCACAGGATTTCAGAGTTGGTGAACACACCACAGGCCGCTTCATCCAAGGCTTGACGCATATAACCCGAACAGGTTCCAATATCAATGATACATTTTGGACAAAAGTTCTGCCCGTAAAGTAGTGCATCAGCCAGAACCAGAACATCCTCATGATCTGTACACTGAACCTCGATAGTCTTACCGTTCATGGACTTTACCATATCTCCAGGACGGAAAGAGTTGCATCCAATAACGTTCTCGCATAACGGGATTAGACCGCGGATGTTGACCTAAGAGTAAGATAATTAATTAATTAGCAACTACCTTTTAGTACCATTCAACCTACCGGCAACCGCAGACCAGCCACTGCCCTGCAAGTGGCCACCACTACAGCCGCTCCGGTCATGTCCCCCCGCATGTGGAAAAGCTCGTGTTTGTCCTTTAAGCACAAGCCACCCGCATCGTAAGTCACTCCCTGTCCAACGAGAACAATTGGACGCTCTTCGGCGCAGGTTCCATAGTAACTGAGTTCCAGAAAGATGGGTGGTTCACAGGAGGCCTTTCCTACCGCCAGAAAAGCATGCATCGACTGACTCTCAGCCCAACCCTCGACTTTGACCTCTACGTTCACGCCAGATTTACATAGCACTTCAACGACATTCTGGGCAAAGGCAGTAGGAGTCAGCAAGTTGGAGGGCATCTCCTGTAGCTGGCGCGTCAGGTTCTGAGCGGCAGCCTTTTGGAGCCCGATGCGCCATCCTTCTATATCGCAGATTTCATCCTTGGTGGCGTACAAGTCAATGGAAGGCACTGAAATTCGGCGCTTGGGATCCCGCAACTCCTGATAGATCCATATCCCCAGAGCAGCTCCCTCTGCAGCAGACTCTGCGTGTCCACAGTTCTCCACTTCGATACGATCGGTGTCCAGCTCTGCGAGAACCCTGCAGGCGTCAGCTACTGACCGCCGAATGGCCTCCTTCTGTTCGTCGAGTACCTCATATGGGTTGTAACCAAGGCACTCCTTACCCAGCCCAATAACAGCCACTGCCGAGTAGTAGGGTACACGCTCTGGCTCCACGGCGAACAGAAGGCGGGTCTCTCCTCTTTTAGGCATTGGTCCGGACATTCGCAGCACTTCCAACAACCGGCCATGTGTTTTCTGGACATTATACTTCCAGCCGGTGGGCGTCAATATACCGGCGTCATTCTTGTCTTCCTCGTCGGCGTAAACTCCCACGACCAAGCCACGCGACGGCGGATCCGCGCAGATCTCCATCTGCTGCAGTTGCAGCATCTGGTTGATCGCCTGAGAGGCGTACCTGCGGGAACGGATCTCCTGCGGTCGGCGTATTATAAGACTACACGCCCGTGAAATTGCTTTTCGCGAAAACCGAAACATTTTGCTTGACGTTAAACTGGAAACTTTGATCAATACTACTAGGATTGTAAACTAGCACTTTGATTTTCTGTGCCGCTTTAAAATATTTCATTAAATTTTTTCACCCAGATAAGCTAAAAATGTGTACGTGTTCAACCTCGAAACAAATAAAAATAAGACCGAGTTCCTGCTCAGCTCGACGTGGCGCTGACAGAATAACCCAAAGGTTACTAGATTATAATCAAAATGCTTAACATTCTCCAAAGGTTGCTAGATCTTCATGATTGTTTTTAAAATTCAAAGCCTGCTTTGGTATTTTTGGAGAATTCAATTCTTTCATGATAATATATTAAAATATATAACAAAGTTACAAATATTGCACAGTAAATTACAAAAAAGCACTCTGTTCAATTTTAAAATAGCGCCATCTGTTAGGACCTTACAAGGTATTTTTATTGATCGACAGCGACGTTACTGTCTATGTGAGGAATTATTATGCGTTTCGAATTGGAATTTTTGGTAAATCGATAGCTTTTAAAGGATAATAAAGAAAAACAGCATCAAAGTCCAAAACAAAATAATACAATCTTTCAACGTTACAGCGGTTTGTGGGCCTAGCCATGTGCCGAATCTTAGAATCTTCATGCTTAATCCCAAGATGTCAGCGGTCATAAGTCCTGTCTAACAAAGCAAGGAAATTTATTTACCTTTCACCCTTGTATTTATATTTTATCATTTGAACGGATGTGAAATATGAACATTAATAAAATGAATACGATTTTTGCTGGTAAATTAACATGTTTAATTCAATTCGAAATAAATATTTTTATGTTGACTTAAAACGAACAAACATTTTTTTGGCCCGGGAACCATTTCGTTTAGGGACTCATCCACAAACTTTCACCAAAATGTGGACATGGTATAGCGATGTATATTCAGTCTATTACTATTCCCCCGCTCGCATTTTTATTTTCCCATCTTGGGAGCGGTGTCCTTGCAGATTGTTTGGGCAATGAATTCGATGAGGGTTCGGGTTGGTCGGCCAGCCATTCCACGACGCAGATACTCAAAATCAATTCCGTTAGTGACCATTACATTGGTGGCATCCTGGAAGTATAAAACGAAGATCGATAAATAGGCCCTGCATTATTTAAAGATCAAACTTACAATATGCATCCATTGACCGCATGGCACGAATTCTCGGAGGAAGGCGGCAGCCTTGCAGGGACGTCCACCACGGCCAATGCCGTAGTTCTGGACATCACTTCGTCCTCCAGCACGCACCGCCTTGCTGTAGTAGTTCCACAGGGGGAAGCGCCACACGCGATCTCCCGTGTGCATACTGGCGTGCTTGATCTGTTGCCACAAGATTTCGGAGTTTGTGAACACACCACAGGCAGCCTCATCTAGGGACTGACGCATATATCCCGAGCAGGTGCCAATGTCAATGATGCACTTGGGGCAAAAGTTTTGGGCATACAGCAGCGCATCAGCCAAAACCAGTACATCTTCGTGATCTGTGCACTGAACCTCAATGGTCTTGCCGTTCATGGATTTCACCATATCACCTGGTCGGAAGGAGTTGCAACCGACTACATTTTCGCACAAGGGAATCAAACCGCGAATGTTGACCTAAGAATTCAGATTACTAATAGTTCTAAGCTAACTGTAAGTATCTTACTGGTAATCGAAGTCCAGCTACCGCCCGACAGGTGGCCACCACCACAGCAGCTCCAGTCATATCACCACGCATGTGGAAGAGCTCTTGCTTTTTCTTTAAGCACAGACCACCAGCGTCGTAAGTAATTCCCTGGCCAACCAGTACGATGGGTCGCTCTTCCGCACAGGTGCCGTAGTAACTGAGCTCCAGGAAAATTGGTGGTTCGCAAGAGGCTTTTCCAACGGCTAGAAAGGCGTGCATAGACTGGCTTTCAGCCCAACCCTCGACCTTGACCTCGACGTTCACACCAGATTTACAGAGCACTTCGACGACGTTCTGGGCAAAGGCAGTAGGAGTCAGCAAGTTGGAGGGCATCTCTTGCAGCTGGCGCGTCAAGTTCTGAGCGGCAGCCTTTTGCAATCCAATACGCCATCCTTCAATATCGCAGATCTCGTCCTTGGTGGCGTACAAATCGATGGCCGGAACGAAGATTCGGGTTTTGGGATCGCGCAGTTCCTGGTACAACCAAATGCCAAGGGCAGCTCCTTCGGCAGCAGATTCAGCATGTCCACAATTCTCCACTTCAATTCGGTCCGTATCCAGTTCTGCAAGAATACGACAGGCAGCGGCCACTGACCGTCGGATTGCTTCCTTCTGCTCATCCAAAACTTCGTAGGGATTGTAACCTAGACACTCCTTGCCCAGACCAACGACGGCCACCACAGAATAGTAAGGTATGCGTTCCGGCTCTACGGCGAACAGCAGACGGGCCTCACCTCTCCTGGGCATAGGTCCCGACATACGGAGAACCTCTATCAGACGCCCATTCGTTTTCTGAAGATTATACCGCCAACCGGCGGGAGTCAGGATACCGGCATCGTTCTTGTCCTCTTCATCCGCATAAACGCCTATGACCAAAGCTCGCGACGGCTGATCCGCACAGATGTCCATCTGCTGGAGTAACAGCATCTGGTTGATGGCCTGCGAGACGTAGGATCGCTTTATGAATTTCGGAGCATATTGGCGACACAGGGGCGACCGGCTGCAGACCCGGAATAGCAACTGACGCGTTTTACCGAACATTTCCCCAGTAGTTTAGATTATAGTACCCCTTAAAAAAATTTTCCGAAAAAACTGGGAATTTATGTCCGTAAAATTTTGTTTCCAAAAAATTGGAAATTTAAAAAAAAAATCAAAAACTAAACTAGTGTAACAACAGGCAATTTTTTACGAAAATTTTTTTCCTGAGTTGTTTACTCTACGACACGTTAACGGATACTAAAGCTATTGGAGCCGGCATGGGGCCAGGTAGCATATGGAATTGGAAGTCAGATGACGGATGGATCAGAGCCTTCTTGAAGATTCTACATAGCCTACGTAGATTGGTCGAAGTTCTTTGAATAATCATGAAGAAGTTAATGAAACGGTTTTAAGCTTTTATCTCTGAGTAAGCACATAAAAGATATTTTGCATTAAAGCAATCAATTAATACAAAATTAATAACAAATTTTCTTTAGTTTTGTTTATTAGTTTCCATACTCAGCATAATCAATTAGGTACAATTCTTTCATTAGGTAATACTGCTTAACATTTGAGACACAAACTAGACACAGACACGTACACTTATCGAGAACATTTTTTGGTAACGTACATACATTTTTTTGGTTTATTTCTCTTTAGCTACATAGAGTAGATATTCCTGTATATAAAATAACAATGGCTATCGAACGTCCTCTATCGTAATTCACTGCGACAATTCTTGTACTTATTGTATGTGTAAATCGACCTTTGGTTGGGTTGCCGTTGCCTTGGGATATGTTTCAGTTTAAATGGCTTCAGATTCAGATTCCGATTCGATTCCTTTTGTTTGGTGGGGTGTGGTATTTGCGGTTCGATACGAAAATATGCAATTGAGATATAGATATATATATATATACATATATATTTGTAGTTCATTCTTGATCTGGGGGGCAACAGTTGTCGCGGAGTAACGAGAGTTCAACAGAGACTAGCGTAAACTTTGAAAGAGTGCAACAATCTAAGGGTGCGCATAGCACATAAGAGGCACATTAGTTATTTTGAGCAACAATAGTATAGTGACTAGAGTGTTAGACAGCTGTGAGTATCCAAGATGCTTGGTACTATCCGGTACTTTGGCATTTGTCAGCAAAAAAATACATCCTGTACAAGAGGGTGGAACGAAATGGTAGCTAAAATATAGGATAATACCTTTAAGGTTCGCTTAGAGGCTTACGAAGTTAAATCATTACATAAGTAGCCTAGGGGTAAGTCATTATATTTACAAGAACCTTTCCCTGGCTAACGAGGCGTATATGATACATATTTAAGGAGTGGAAGTTTTATAAAAAACACAAAAAAGAGTTCCACCCTTTGTACTTCCAATATAAAAACCCGATCCGAACAACCTTACATAGTTCGTGAACCAATCTTAAAGTGGCAATCACAAAATCGTGGTCACGGTTACGGGTAACCCATCAGCATTCACGACCTGCTCCGTTTGCACACGGGTGCCGAAGCTCTCTACACTGGTAGCCTTGCTGAGATCGATAGCCGGCACATCTTCGTCGTAATCGGAGGCCAGTTCCTCCTCGGCTAAATAGCTGCACTTGGTGCTCGGCACTGCTTTCACCTGGTGCTGTTCCTGCTCGTGATACAAGTGTGTGCGGTCCATATAGATGATCCCGTCATCCGTGTCGTCGTCTGTGTGACAAACCGGATAGTGACCGTAGCCCGCCTCGCACTGGTACGGATTCGACTTCACATGGACGTTCCGGCAGCTTCCGCCGCAGTTTTGGTGGCTCTCGGCATCCCCGCCATTTGCCCCATAGCACTGACCCCGGTGCAGCGAATGACCCACCGAGTGGCCACCAGAGTGACCTCCCACGTGGGCGTTCAATTGACCCACGCCAGCCGCGCTGCTGGAGTGGGCCACTGACTGCTAGATGTGGGAGTGGGAACGTGCTATCGACAACGAATACGGACTGAGATCCTTCTGGATTCGCATGGAGTCGTAAATGGGAAACTCGCAGCACAGAATGAACTTCAGGGCACTGGGAACCTCCACGTAAACGGCAGGAGGCACTGGGATTAGCGGCGAGGTTGAAGCCTTATACTTCCGGTACTCCAGCTGGCTGGAAAAAACAGGGGGAAAATATTAAATCACAATCATTAGATAGTTATGAGTTATTAAAAGCCATGTTATGCTTAGTTTAAGCCTAGTTTACTTACTCTTTGTACTTTTCATCGGCACTTCGTTCTCGCAAAGGTATGCCTGACAAGAAAAGGATGATCATTGTGGTAAAAATGGGTGAGGCAATCGCCACCCACTCATGGCCGCTGATCACATTCAGCGATATGGCAAAGATGCCCCACCAGATGACTACCTCGCCAAAATAGTTGGGATGCCGTGACACGCTCCACAGGCCTATTAAAGATAACTTATCAAATCGAATCTTTAGAACTTATCATTGTTTCCTTACCATCATTGCAAAATTTGCCCTGATTGGCTGGATCCTGGCGGAAGGAGAACTTCTGCAGATCCGCATAGGTCTCCGCCAGCAAACCAACGATGAACATGCCCGTTCCCGTGGAGTCCAATGTGGTCATGGTCTTTGGGGCACGCGGCTGAGAGTGGCGCGGTGAGTTGATGATTATTACAGGCAGTGACACAATGTAAACCCATACGGCCTTAAAATAGGAATTGAATAGTTAGGGTAAACCTTATTGGTAGTCTTAATTTAAGTAATTTTACTCATTAAGTTCTCGAAAAGCCTGAAAATATACAAAAAACACCAGAGCTTGATGGACCTTTCACTGCATTTACAGTTAAAATGCAATTTTTCCAAGCACCTTTCCAATTTCGGCTGTTATTTTCAGATTGCAATGACAGTATTTCAACCGGCAACAAGTGATTGGAATTGGGGGAAAATGCGAAATAAATGGAGACAAAACGATGGCGGGACATGCCACATGCAGCACGCCAACGCCAATGCCGACAGCCCTACAGACACAATGAAGGCCGGACGGACTGCAACCACCCACTTGGCACTAGCCACCAACAATCAACCACCAACACCCAATCCCCAATCCTCAACCCACTCAACGTTTAGCTGGCGTCGCCCACATGTGTCATGTCATTCTGCCAGGGAGAAATGGCGTTTTAATTGTTGGTCGGTCTGGTCCTGGGCCTGGGTCTGGGTCATGGGGTCTGGGCAACATTGAGATTACCATTTCCACCCATGTCGGGCGGTCGACAGGTGCTGAAATATGAAATATTCAAAACCTTTGAGTGCGTGTCAATTAGTGACAGTTTGATTGATTTTCCACCTCCAAGTTGAAGGTTCTGTCATTGAGAATCGAATTGAAAAGTGGCTGACGCAACCGATTGGTCTAGTCGTGAACTACCCACCAGAACTCACCTGGAAGGTCCAAAAGACCGCGTAGCGTATTATGTTGCGGCGGGGTATCCTCGAACTGTTTATCCGGGCCCAACTTTATAATGCGATATAGTAAATAACCGGAGAGCCTCACGCCCCAAAGGCAAACAAATAGTGTCACCATCAACTGCCGACTGTCATAGGCCTGAAAATAAAAATGAATATTGTTTAATCATAAACATAAAGAGCGTAATATCTAAAATTAGGTACGTTTAATGCGTTAAAATATCATTTTAAGTTATAGGTTAAACACTCACTACTCTAAGAAGAGGGTTTCCAAAATCATTCTAGCTTTAAATCAAAAATCTTTAAAGAGCAAAGTTTCATAGAGGTGGGTTATGTTCCAACCCCTTAAAGATGTCGGTGGGCCATAAACTGACGTATATGGTTGGATCATGTCCGCATTGCAATAAACATTTAGTGGTTGCCATTCTGCCGAATGAGAAATATTCGTGGGCAATTGAGGAAGGCTCGGCTAAAGTTCGAGTTCAAGGCTAAGCTGCCTGCTATCCTTGGACCGGAAGGAACTCTCGTAACTATTTTTAGTATCTTCACAATAACAAAGGTATTTACCTCCACCTATACCTAGGGTATCTACCAATTCGTACCCACACCTCCAAGCGTACGAAAATTCATTGCCCAACGAGCAATTTGCACGAATTTTTATTTTTGCAGGACTAAAAGAAGAATGTTTTATGTATTTTTTTCGGGTGGATATTTTATTTTACAAAACCACTTTCGGTGGTCATGCAAATTTTGCATAAATAAAGCGGAGCACGCACCAGTGCAAGTGGTGGCCCGTGCCATGGCTAAGTGGCCACGGGGCAGTCGGGTTGGTTCAATAATGAATGAGTCGACTGCACATTTTGCAGTATTTATAAACGGCATTGACGGGGAAACTGAATCAGAAATGCATTTCGCATGGAGGAGTGGCTCCTTCGTCAAACGTCGTCATGAAAAATGCAGGCAAAAATTGTTAAATTGCTTTGTCAATGGCAGTGAACAGGCGGCTCATGACCGTAACCGCCAGCCAAAGTCAGCTGCAGGACGAGGTCATGGATAAGCGAGACTTGGCTGTGGAATATGTAAGGGCAATTTTATTGAGGGCCCCCAAACAGTTGATAGTTTAATGGGTTTGTCAGTTCGCAGAGCAGAGTCTTGATTGCCCATTTTGTCGTTTGATTGAGCTGCCTTTCAGTCCGGGGCTTAAGCTATTTTTATCGCTCGATTTATTAAGCGAGTCTGAACGGCGATAAACCATCGACAGGCGACTGCATATGGCGGCAGTAAAGCATTTTTATGGCCATCCTACACAGCTGCAACACAGAGCAACAACAATAGTGCCGAACAAGCAACAACAGCCACAAGCAATGGCGGCACTTCCGTTTCCGGCTGACGTCCTGCGTTCGCCATTCTCCTCCTGCCATCATTTCCGCGGCATGACTTTAAATAAATTTTGCATTGCTAACTTAATGAGTGGCAGAGAAATTTCATTTTAAACTACGATCGATATTCAATTTGGAATTGCCACAAAAATTGTGACAGCAGAAATTAATTGAACGTTAGTTCGTATGGAATTATTACTTCGATATTTACTCCTTTGTTTATTTTGCATGGCTGTAAAAATGTGGGAGGACAAAATGAATGTGTGTGTGGTCGGAGAGAGATTTTAAACTTTGGTTTTCCCTTGATTGTTTATTTGGCACACAAAACCAACAACAGAGAAGAATGAATTTATTTCTCAATTTGTATATACATTGTGCCGTGCGAACGTTTATAAGCCCTTAACAAGCTTTCATGGGCTATTCAGTAAATCGATACATTGAGGGCATTTAAAACTGAAACAAAAGCTTTTACGGTCTTCGTTAAATGCGAATTTCTCTTTAATCTTATCAAAGTTTAATTAATTGTGCAAATATGTTCTTATCAAGTTATCTTCAAGGGGATTTAAGGATCTGAAAATGGCTATAAAGATACTTTATTTTAATTATAATAAAATAGCCTTAAGTATGCCAGTGTCAGCCGTTAAGATAAACAGCAATTTTTGCTGTTAATGCCAGGATAATGAAGAGCATAATTATGAAGGTGGAAGCCAATATAATTTCTCTCTCTTTGTTCATCCTTCGCTGGTTATATTTTGGCTTTAAAATTATGATAATCTTAATTAAAATCTTTGAAGAGCTTTTAATGAAAGTTAAATATGTGTTTTAATATAAATTACATCTATAGAGCTGGAGGTAGAAATCTGTCAGCATTGTGGATAAGAATCAGCTTCTAGGGTTGTAGTCTCCTTAATGTAAGTGAAGTTTAATATTTAATAACAAGAAGATACCAATTTTAGACTCACTTTTGTTGTTCCAATAAGCTTTTTCTATAGCACCTCTAATGGGCTGTCAATCTCAATCAAGGCAAACATAATTGGCCCATTTAGCACCTTGTTAATGAAAGGAAAACTACGAAATTGGCCATCAAGTTGGATTAATTAATTGAAAATTGTGGTCCATTTGCAGTGGCGTTGGATTAGTTCTTTCTTTCGCCTTCAAGCTGCCCGTAAATAGCGTTAGTTAGCTGCTTAGGCAGCGTGTTAGTCTGGCGGAAGGACACGCCGACAGACAGATTGAGGACCCTCACGATGCCAAGGTCATGCTCAGCCAGAAGGAGACCTACAAGCTAACCAGATACCCAGCCACCCAGCTACCCAGCTACAGCAACTACAAATATAACAACAAACGGAACAACAGCAAACATCGAGAAACAACAGCTGAAGTGTGGGCCTCGGTGGGTAACCTTTTGTTTGTTGGCAATGGCTGTGTTTTTTCTGTTTGTATGCGTTGATGTCTGTATCTGTGTATCTGTGTGTCTATGGCGCGTGCGTATGCAAAACTCAGTTTTCAATGTCAGCAGCCGAAACCACCGAAGCCCAACCATTGCCCATTACCCAGCATTTACCCACCTAGCACCCAAAAATCCACCCACTGCAGCAGCCCCCTTCCGACCAGTTGGGTGACATGTTTATGGTCACGATTCAAGTTCAACGAATTAAATTTTTACTGAAAATCCACATCCCAATAAAAGCTAACGAGCTACTAAACAAAATAAACAGAATGGCTCATAAATTATGCATTGTTAAAACTAACGAGAGCTATAAGTTGTTGACAGCATATCATATAAGATATATATTATATTTTGTATGTATTTGGCTTTTCCAATATTAATGCAATATTCGTACGATTATTTCTGTCGAAATTGCTTTCATAAGGTATACCTTATGAATTCATTTTAAATTAGTTAGTTTAAAATAAGTTTTAAACTTAGTTTTTCTTGAATATAAGTCAGCATAGGTAAGATTGAAA